CCAACCCCTGATCATTTTAGTTGCCCTCCCCTCTCCCAGCCTCTCTCTTCCCCACTCCCACTTCCTTTTCCCAGTCTCCCCCAGTTTTGTTCAATAAAGACAGATTCCATTTTTGAACACAATTGTCCTTTATTTTGTACGTCAAGAAGAGGGGCTAGGTAGGGGTAAGTGGAAGGAGGTGAGGGAGGAATGGGGTACGAGCCCCCGATGGGGAGGACTGGGCTGGCTCTGCGGGCTTCTGGGGGTGGAAGCTCTCCTGCAGCCCCCCAATTGCTCCCTCTCCCCAGATGGCAGCCTGCGGCAAGTGCAGCCGGGCTGATGGCCGAGTGCTGTGATGTGCCCAGTGTGGGTAGTCCGGGCAATCCAAGCCAGGACTGCTTTGCAAGCGGGGCACCCCTGAGAACTGTCTGTCCGGGGTGGGGGTCGGGACCCTTTAAACGCAGCCCTCGGCTAGCCTGAGACAGCATCTCCACGCTCTAAGTCCTCCTCTGATGCCCTGCCGGCACTGCTTCCGGCCATCCTTAAGCCCGGTTCAGGGTCCACTTAATGTGGACATGCTAGTTCGAATTAGCAATACGCTAATTTGAACTAGTTTTTTAGTCTGGATCCGTTAGTTCGAATTAGCTTAGTTCGAATTAACGTTGTAGTGTAGACATACCCTACGATAGTTTAATCGGCACACCCTGCAAATTCTAGGTGCACAAGCAGAATTAGCAAAACTACCCTTTCCCGGGAGACTGTCTTAGTTACCACAATCCTGTGGCCCACTCACTATCCTTGGTTTCCCATCACTGAACTAGAGGATTTTTCCCTTATTAGTATTAAAGATCTGCTGCAGACAATGAAGGTAATGATGATTCTTAAAGAAAAGGTCACAAGAATACTTCACAGTAGAGCAGTATTTCCCAATTTTATTTGGCCACGGAACCCTTTTAAACTCGAAAGAATTTTGCGGAACCCCTAATAACGGCAACTGGTTTGACAGCCGAAGCTTCAACTTCGTCCAGCGCGGCGCTAGTCTATTCGTATTCAGTCACCCACGTGATCCACGCTCCCTGAGAGTGAGTACGGGGATTTATGGTGGTATATAACAGGCGATTGCACCACTGACTGACTGTATGTGCAGCGCTGAGTAGTGACATCATCGTCCCCACTCTCTGGCTATGCTGGCATTACACAGAGACACTTATTGAGGCAAACACAAATGAAAATTGTGTTCAATAAAATTCATAAATGCTTAAATATATATATTTTTTTAAATCATGAAATGTTCTTGTAATGGAATTTTCTTGCGGAACCCTTATTTTCACTTCGCGGAACTCTGGGGTTCCATGAAACACCATTTGGAAAACTGCAGTAGAGAGTCTAGGCAATAAAGTGTTGCTACCAGCTCCCTGTAGAGTTAGTTGGAGGAGGGGGAGCTGAATCTGAGTTAGTGGGTCTGAGTGATTCTCTTTAAGGCTGTTTTTGCGCAAAAACCTGTGGAGTGTCCACACCTCAATTGTTCTTTTGCACAAGTAAATCAGCAGTAACATGGCAGAACAGGGCTTTTGCCAGTGTAGGTAAACCTCCTTCTACGAGGCATAATTCCCTTTTGCACTACAGCTATTGTGAATGACCATCAGAGCTTTCTTGTGCAAGAGCATCCATACAGTGTAGACGCTCTCTTGCGCAATAGCATATCACTTTTGTGATGCGCTTTGGGATACGGATGTGCTCTTGCACAAGAAGTTTTTGCACAAAAACTCTTGTGCAAAAGGCTTCTTGCACAAGAAGCCTGCAGTGTAGATGTAGCCTTCGTGTGTAACTTGCTTGTTGTCCATAAAATTCTTCTGCTATTGCATTTGTTTTTAGTACTACAGAAGATCTGGAAAGAGAAATGGAACAAGTGAAAATCTCCTTTCACAACAAAACACTGGTGTTACAAAGGTAAAGCTTTTAAACTTTTTTCTAAAATTTTGTTTAAATAGTAACAGAAGTCCATAAACCTTTATTAATGCTGAACCCGTAAATGAGAGTTGAAAGTAACATCTGAAATGTTTGTATGGTGGTGTTGTATTTTAGGGTGCAATCCACACTAGTAAGTTGGTGTTACTACCTGCCCTGTACTTCTGTGCCCTAAATGCTTAGCTCTATGGCTCTCAGCCCAGATGCCAACAGCCAGCAAACAAGTATCCAGTATTAGTTCAGCATTCTGACCCCACCAGCAGACCTAGAACACAACTGCCCCATCCTGCTCTCCACTAGCATTGGCTAAAGGTAAATTTCTTACCAATCTCTTCATCCATGACAGACTTTCAATCACAACATTGCACAGAAGTACAAGATGCTGGTTTCTCTTGTCGTCCTAGGTGAAAAATGTATATCTAAGCAAGTTTTTCACTTATATTGAATTCCCAGAGACTTCAGTTCCCTTGGCTGCAAGAACTCTGTTCCCTTGTCTATCCAGTAATGAATGCTGTCTTTTCTTTTCTTATATCTGGCCAAACTCAGTTTTGTCTTCAGGCTCGGATGACCTCATGCTATTCTTTCTATCCTGCTGACTTCCTGTTCCGTTCCTCATTTGTATGTAAATAGGACTTCCATTGTTTTTGGCCATCCCTTGCTTAATTTCACTGGAGACAGACCATTCCCTTCCTTCATGTCAGGGAGAACATTTGTTTCTCTCTGTGTTTGATCATAGGCTTTAAAGTATAATCTCTAATTCCTCATATTATTAATATTTTGGTGAAATGCATGTATTAATCATCAATGTGGTATTGGTTATTATAAAAGACTTGTTATGCATTATTACTATATTATAAAAGTACATCATCAGTTGATTCAATTACTTATTCATTTGAGGTCTGTGCTCCTACAAGAGGCTGTCCCCACTAACTAGGTGATGGGTTTGTTTTCCTTTTATGAAAATTTTACTTTGTTGTCTCTGCCTGATGGTCAGTCTGGTCAGATAAATACATGTGTCTTTGTCTAAGGCAAGCTGGGCTTATGCATTACTTGCCAAAACCTTTTTAAGAACATAATTCTAGCACATATCCATAACTTTGTACACATCCCCATACATCATGCAGGAATATGAATGATGAGTGAGTTGTTAGTTTTCCAAGCTCTCCTTGGCTACAAATGGCGAACCACAGCTAATGGGAGCCTCGAGGCTCCGTGGCTGCAGAGCTGGTAAGTAAACAAACCAGAGCAGCTCGGTAGCAGCTTTCTCAGAGTGGGTCCGTGGACCACTTTGAGAAACACTGGTTTAAACCTTTCACCAAGCATATTCTGGTGTAAAAAGTAGTGCACTCAACTAATTTAAGTGCCAGGATTGTTTATGCAAAATTTGATTTCTGTAATTAATCGCAAAGTATGATTTTATTTTGCACAAACAAACGCTTCAAAATATATAGCTATGTCATGTCACCTTTTGGGTATATATCATAACGATAGTGTGTTAGGTGTAGAGAGTAATTTCAGGCTTGACAAGAGCTTCTGACACAGCATAAGGAATCACCAATAGGTCTCTGTCACAGGTGGCCAAAAGGAATGTAGACAAATATACCTTACTAGATGGACTTACCCGGCGTTGCTCAGGAAACCAGAGGAACAAAATTTAGGAAAGGGGGGGACCCTGAGCCAGGGATCCCCAGAACCACAGACCTTGGGAGCTGATGGCTCCTGGCCCACTCCTGACCCTCTGAGAGCAGCAGGACCCTCCTCCCCCCACGACCAAGCAGTCAGCCCCCAGGAGAACAGTACACAGTCATGCAGCCAGTAGCAAGGGGACTTCTCTTTGCAAGGTTGGCTCAGGGATCCACCTGCCCTGCCTTGGCAAGCAAAAACTCAGAGCTTACATCTAACCCCGATGGTGGAACCAGACACAGAAGAGCCCCACTCACAGTATGAACAGCAGCTAGCTGGCTTCACGGCAGTGTGATGCATCGAGGGTTTAACCCGGCCCCGCTGCCTGCGCTGCAGCAGGCACACAGATTCCTTCTACTCGGATAAGCCCAGCGAGCTGAGCAGAAAGGCTGTCCAGCTTTGGTTTTGGTTTCGGGGGGGGATGGCAGGTGGGGAGCGATCCTGGGTGGAGGGGAGGTTACATGCGGGAGGGGTGCCCCAGCTTGTGCCCAGGGCTTCAGGTGCTGCGGGGGGCAGGGCGGGTGCCTGAGGC